AACCGAACAAGAAATAGGATTTCAAAGCCAACGGAGCCAAAAAAGGTAAGGAAATATTAACCCATCCAGGAAACCAGCCATGGAGTCAATAGAGTGGAATAGCAAGGCAAGCAATTACCCTTATACCGAGAAAAAATGTAATTGAATAAAAGGTAGGTACCAAATAACTATACAGATAAACAGTACATAACATGGCATATACCGCGGAAAAGTTGGCATCAATCTTCGGCTGCACAGTCTCCAATCTTATGGCTATCAATAGGGAGATCCTAAAAAGCCACCAAACCCCGTATGCAGTATCAGTAATCCCCGAACTTGTGGGCCATATCCTGGAATACATTCCAAGTAGAAATTTCAGGACACATCTTCTAGAAGTCAGCCCAATCTGGAGAGCCGAAGCTGAACGAGTACTCTGGAAGCAGCATAAAAAAGCCGAGGAGGCATACGACAGGGCAGTAGAAAAGAAGAAAAAAGCAAATGATGCTCTTGGCCAATGTCGTCAGGCTGGTAGTGTGTCTCGCTAGCGCTCACCCATTTCAGCTTCACGGCCTCGCAGTACCTACATCCCCCCTTCATGGGGTAGAGAATTCCCTATATATACTAACGCCATGGCCACAGTGGCCATGGCTGGTCACAGTACTTTCCAACTTCTTTTTTTTTCTCCATTTTTTCTTATATATAAAACTACTATGACCACTATGACCACTATGACCAGACTACTAAAAAGTGGATAAAAACACGAATAAAGCTGAAATCAGACAGAATATCCGGCCATAGTACTGGCCATAGTTCGAAAAACTTATGATAATACTATGACCACTGAACTATGACCACCCAACTATGACCACCGAACTATGACCACCTTAGTAAGCTCCTCAGGCTCTAAAACCTGATTTATGCTATGATTATCCTTTATACACTCACCTGGATTCCAAGTATGACCACCGAACTATGAACACAGAACTATGACCACCAAACTATGACAACCAAACTATGACCACCGAACTATGACCACTTGCACCCGTCAGAAAAATATATTCGGCAATTGAAGATTAGGTAACTATAAGTAACCTATAAGGACAAACAACATGTATACCGCAGAAAAGTTAGCAACAATCTTCGGCAGCACAGTTCCCGATCTTATGGGTATCAATAGGGAGATCCTAAAAAGCCACCAAACCCCGCATGCAGTATCAGCAATCCCCGAACTTGTAGGCCATATCCTGGAATGTATTCCAAGTAGCAATTTCAGGCCACATCTTTTAGAAGTCAGCCCAATCTGGAGAGCCGAAGCTGAACGAGTACTCTGGAAGCGGCATAAAGAAGCCGAGGAGGTATACAAACAGGCAGTAGACTACTACAGGGAAGCCGTTGATAATCCTGCAGAGTCATATTTTTTGTCCAGATTTTTACAATGATTGATGACTATGTAACCATATCATCAGGTATCCTTACATTTTTCAACAAGGATTGATGACCATGTAACTTCATCATCAGGCATTCATGAATTCTTAACATAAACTAATAAATTTTTGAATGTTCTATCTAGTACTCTTTCAAAATTTTGTCTAATCACTAGTTTGAACTGATGAGATAGCAAATTAAGTTAATCCTCTCCACCAGGTTTCCCTAAAGAAATTCTTGTTGGCTTTGGACTATGTAATAATGCAGAAAGCCAGCAAAATGATTTATCATCTCTTATTATATTATTAGCAAAAAGCCATTGTAACATATTATTTCCTTCTTTAAATTCCTCAATATCAAGTGGACATGATCTCAATAGTAATAAAAGTTGATTTATATATAATCTAGCCATTTCTTTATCCTCTTCAGTCTGTTCTAAATCTGCTATTGTAGGATCATATGTAAATTGTGAAGTTTTAGAACTAGCAGTTGAAAGTGGAATACTATGAATACTTGATTTACTAGACAAAGCAGTATGTTGAGACATTGTCTCCTCAAGATCTCGAACAGATTTTTTGGTTGAAGCAGTATGTTGAGATAATGTTTCTTGAAGGTTTCGAACAGATTTTTTAGTTGAAGTAGTGTGTTGAGACATTGTTTCCTCAAGATCTTGTATTTTACTTTGTGCTGCTTCCTGCTGATTTGATAAATCTGTTATATCACCTGACACTCCCTTAATATCCATTGATGTATTTTTTAATTGCCAAGAAATTGCTCGCATTTGTGAAGCAAGCTCATCTATAGTTGCTTTAAGCTCTTCTACAG